GCTGCAGCTCAGTTGCAGCTCATTCCTTTTGAAAAGACTGCTCTGTATTTGACAGAGTGAATTTGAAGTCTAGGAATAGATAGTTATTAAGATTACCCTAGTCCCACCTCACCCTTGGAGGAAACCATGCGCCCAAAAACATCATTGAAACTCTTTTAGGCCCAATTGGAGTCTGCGAAATCCAAAGCGATTGAGAAGGATGAGCAATCGCAAACATGGGGATTTTACAAGATGTGTGCGAATCTCTAGGTTAAAATATCTAAACGTACGAATGACGGACACTCTATGGTCCAATTTTAACGCAAATGTCCGAATTTGCAACACGGTCGAGCAAAAGAACTCTTGAAAACCTTTCTTTTTTTCTTCTTCCTCTTTCTGCCCCCCCCCCTCTCCCCCTAATAGGATGGGCAAAAATGACGAATGCGACTAGAAAAGCTTCTTGTTCTTGATTTTTGCTAGATTGTACCTTGTATTATACTGGAAGCACCAAGTACCAGGTACCGGTATCCCTAAACTATCGAACCAAATCATAGATCGCCTGATAGACCTGGGTGGGTCCATGGATCTGGGTGCTGCTCCTGGGATAATTGCTGGGGTCCCCTGTCGGCCTGATGACCTTGCTGATCCGTATAGCTTGGACGTCTTGGCCGATATTGATATTGGTTTTGATAGGGATGTGGGGGGGGGCTTGCTTGTCCTTGTTGCGGCAACGGTGGGTCATACCTTGGTTGCGGCCTTGCATTAATATGACCATTTTGGGGCTGCTTCTGTTGGCCTTGAAAGTTACGTTGATTTGAAGGGGGCTGTCTTTCGTACTGATGATTGTTTGGCATCTGTGCTCTTCCCCCTTGCGGCCCATATGCAGTCGGATCCTGTCCCTGGTAGCTTTGGTTGTTTTGTCTATCTGGATATCTCTGGGGAGGCTGTCTGCCGTACTGACTGGGATTGGACATGCTGTATTGGGGTTCGGCCGTATCATCGCTCTTTTCGAACACGCTACCTAACGCTGACTTTGCCTGTCCCCACCAATCTTGAACGAAAAAGCACCACATTGGTGTATTAGCAACTGAAATGGACGAAGTCGGTGAACGGGACAACTTGAGACTTACTTGTGCTCTTCTCGCTTATGGATTGGCCTGCAACAGAAGCCCCCGTGACAACTTGGTCACGTGCTTGACCCATTGCGTCTCTTGTTCGACTACTGAAGCCCACAAGTCCCTCCCATGACTTTCCAAGAACATCCTTCATCGCCGTTGTCCCATCTTCCAAGACACCTGTCACTGCATCACTGACACTTGGCTGTTGGTTATACGCTTGCTTCTGAGCATTGTAGCCCCTGTATTGAGAAGACTTTGGGTCCCCTTGTGGCTGCTGATACTGCGAGTATTGATATTTTCCATGAGGTGGCTCTCCGCTGCTTTGCTGCTGAGAGTATTGGGAGTTCGGGTACTGGGGTCGACGTAAGGGCGCTCGCGGACTCTCGGCACGTGAGCCATAGGTAGGATTTGGAAGGTGTGACCGAGGAGGCGCATTGAAACGAAGATCTCCATTTCCGGACGAAGACTGGTGATGTTGAGTGGCACTTTGCCCATTTGAGGAGGGACTCCTGTTGCCACCGACAATTTGTTGACGCTGTTCAAGTTCCGCAAAACTAGCCTGACTTGAACGATCTTGTGGCTGAATGTGACTTTGGTAAACCGGATTTCCCCTGTCGTGAATTGGAACGTCGCCTGGAGATCTGATATTTCCTAGACTTGAAACTTGACGTGATTCCGATGGCAGTCCAGATGCTCTTCCAACTTGGGAGTACTGAGGAATGGTGCCAGGGTTGTTTTCGCGCTTGATAAAAGCAGGTGAATGGTGAGACGTTCCTCGACCGACTTCCTCTGCTTTTTCAGTTTGAAGTCCCCAGCCTCCTACTTGGGGTTGTTCTGAGGGTCTTTGGCCAACAGCCCGATCACGATTCGGAGACGTGTTTCTTTGCCGACCGACGTTTTCTCGATTTTCTGCTGAATCATTGTTTCTGCATGATGTATTCGGAGCTATCCCTGGGTTTCGTGGGACGTTTCGTTCTGCGATAGCCCCAGCGGTGTTGTCTTCGGGTCCGTTCAATAGTTGCAGGGAGTCACGATTTTCAACTTGCTCTGAGGCAATGTCTAGTTGATTCCATCGCTGTCCATCGGCATCGTCGTTAGTTTGAACGCTCGATGAGAGACTATCCCCGCGCTGGTATTCACGATTCGCAGGAAAACCTGGTGCTGAATTTTCCTCATTAAACTGTCCTTTCGAGATGACTGTTTCTGTTGAATCATCCCGGGATTGTTGATGACTAAATGGAGAATCCTCAACCTTCTGCCGTTCTTGAGGACTATAGACATGTTTCTCTGATATTCCCGTGAGATCACTGACTTCCGTCTCCGCTCTTTCAAAGCTTTTTGGTAAAGTACTATCAAGCGATGTTTCCATGTTTGCTGGAGCAGGTCTATACCACGTTGTGGTTCCATCCAAAGAATTGTAGTAGTAATATTGTCCTGATGATTGATCAAAATGCTCACTCCATCCTGATGGGAGCGGGTTCTGTTCTTCTACAATACTGTTTTGCATCGACCAGGACTCTTGGCCGAAAGACTCCTTTGTTGGATCTATGTACAAGCCTTGTGTGTTCCCATCAAAGTTAGTGCGCCCAGCGCCGTACGTAGTACCTTGGCCACCGCTACTGCCGGCTTCAGTTGCTGTCGCAGCCAAACCTGCAACAAGAAGTAGAGAGCCGACCGTGCTGCTGATCTTCATGGCTAATACAGGAACCGTACTTGGAAGGATTTTCGTTAATTTTCGTTTTGTGAATCAATGAAGCATCAAGTTGAGGGATATCAACACGTGGAAGAGACCAGTAGAGGTTCCACGTGTACCAGGTGCTTCACGTGCAAAATGCACGGAGGCGGAAATCTTCCTAGAAACCCTTCTTCATCGAGAACTCTGCTGCCCACGTTAGTGTGCATATCGAGCTCTTTCTCAGCTTGACGTAGTCCATGCATGAGTTCACCATTACAAATGGTGGTGT